CCATTTCTCCTATTGCTTTCGGAATACATGTTTTCAACCCCACTTATGCCTTCTACTACCCCATTGGAAGCCTCGGGACGCTACAGATACATGCACTCTAAAGATGGCAGAGCAACTGTGCCTGAGCATGGCCTGACGCACAGTCCACGAGTACAGGAGCCAGACAAATCAAAAAGTGACCGCCAAACTTCATGTAGTCACATAAACAAAGCATTACAATGCTATTAGAAACACAGTCATTTAACAAACAAACGAACATTTAAAAGCTTTAAGTTTGATCATTTATAAACTTGATGGACGCTCTAGGTCTTGGTATTGTGCCCTAACCTAAGTTTTAGCCTTCATGCCTTAAATCGCTCCCTATTAATGCGATATTTGTCGTCCAATATGCATGAGCATTTTATTGTTATACTAAACCAGTGGAAATCAATATAACATCCTCCTGATCTGGAAACTAAAAATAGAGGCAAGTTGAGTTCTATGATATTAAATTTCGGTCTAATTTTGTACGTAATGCATATTAATCCTTTAAATTGTGCTTCGTGGGAGGGCGTTGTGATATCAATTCAAACACAGTGGAGATGGAGGGAGTGGACCTTTTCTATGACTAGTTTATATTGTCATATGTGTACCGTCATATATGTAGATCGGAATTACATCCCAATGCCCAACAACTGTTCTTCCGACCACCTCCAAAACCTAGAAGGACGAGACTAAAGATAGAGAGAGAAAGAAAACTCTCAAATCTGGATTGGCTACAAGAGAACAAATATCTGGCCGCTGACTCCTTCAAAATTTTCCGAAGCCTAGTGAGAGAGACAAAGACTACGCTAATAGCCTACCACAACAAGGTGCGCTCCTATGTAGGCGATCCACCTGAGACCTATAAGGGTAAGGTGTACGCGGTAGCCGAGGCAATGAAGCCCTCTGACAACTCAGCAGGAGGCTCTAGGGACGGTGCATGAAAGAGATATAGGACTGTACTATACACATTTCTCGTTTAAATTATTCTTCAAAGAAAGTGGGTGCGAATCGAATTCTAACACTTCAAAGACTAGCATGTATCATGGATGAACCACCACCTTGCAGATTGTAATGACATCTCGATGCGCGATAACTTTTCTCCCATCCACCTCCCTACTCGCAAACTGGAATTAAGGACGAAGTGTGCGTGAAGAATTCTCTACAGGGATTGAGCTTGCTTATCATCTCTTGCATCTTCTTTTCCTGTGGCACACCTAACAAAGAAAAAAACGCGGATGCCCATCTTATTCCATCCTTTTATTCTCTCGAGCATTTTTGTGAAGCATAGAAAACCATATATGTACAAAGAATTAAATTTCCGACATTCAAACCCGTACTGATGGTAACAGTTTTGAAGCATTCACCTTGATATTCAGTTTCCATCTAGAATTTGCAAACAACTTTTGTCTTTATCCAAAATCACTTGAGATCATTTAAATCAATAGACAAAAAAACTATTTGGTTGATTTACGAGAGGCCCAAATAAACTAAATTCAGTTGCAGACAAATGCTGAAAATCATTAGTAAGCGGCAAAATGGATTCTTTGTCCATACCTTGATCAAGAACATCACAACCTTCTGAAGAAATTGAAGTTCTCGTCGATGGTTGTGAGGGTGCAAAAATTTGCATCAGCATCTCGTGTCGCTGTCGTCTAAGTGCCTTCCTCATGTATGCCCTTTGGTGAGTTCCGTTAAGTGGTCCTGACGATCCTGCCCTACATGGGATTGGTTTTACAGGTGTACATCTCTCTACAGTCTCAGCCGGCATTTCTACTTCTGATTCATCATCCAATGAGTCTATGTTGCGTGATTGGTTGCATTTACCTTTGCATTTACAAGTTCTGGTGGAATTTGAGGCAAGTCGGTCTTCCTCCACTTCAATGAAATCATTGGATTCCACATCGCCAATTTCAGGACTCTTCGAGGGTAACTCTATTCCATTATCACAGTCCACTATAACAAAATTTTTGGAGCTCACTCCTTCCGTCTCTTTGACACTCTCCTGCCAACAGAAGTCTCTTTTCTCAACCGTTCTTCTTTTGGGAACTGGGGGTGTTGAGGCACGAACACTTTTATGCACCATTTTCAAGTCATCATCACTCCATCCCTCTCCTCTTGTGGCAGGTGCCAACATCAAACACACACATGTCTCCGCCACCGCCATGCTACTCCTCAAGGGGTCAAGTTTTTTGCTCAGCCGACCTGAGTCCCAATAATAATAGACGGTTGGAAATTGGTCAGAATATGTTTCTTCCTCTTGTTCCCGCAGATCTGAAATGCTGAGAGATTTCAGACTCTCTTGGTGAGTGTTCGAAGCCCTAGAATCCACTCTCTGGGTCAAAGGTGAGGGTCCACATAAAATCAGCATGAGAGAGACACGATTACTTGCCACTCGAATCCATATGTCTCCATTTTCAGGCTTTTGGGATGGTTGGACTGACGTCCAATTAGCCGGTGCGTTAGACGCTGTGGATTTGGATGAAGATGATTTAGGTGGTGGCTTGATCAGATTACTCCAGATGGGTTCATGGTCGTCTGGGGAGGGAGGGGATGTTGTGCAACTGCATCTACAACCGCAACATCCCTTAGATCGACGAGGCTTGGGGGAGGGCTTATGGAGGTCGGGAAAAGTAAGACGGACAAAGAGACTCCGAGCCTTATTGTTCATCCTCGCAGTCTCAACTTTAGTTGGGTAGTCAAAATGAATCCTGTAGGCAGACATGGTGTAAGAGCCTATTTAAACGGGCCGCTTAAGTAGAATATTGATCAAAATGTGTTGTTCAAGGTCATCTCTCAATTGGTTGGCTAATCACGTGACGAAAAGGGACTCCTATGTAGCCAATGGGCGTAGAAGCGCCAAACCGTTTGAGCACGATCTTGAATTACCAACGTTGCATTGTGGTGCAAATCTCGATGATGACTAAAAGTATGCGAAATCTCCCGGGCATGTCCATGGAGAAGCCATAGACATGTGAACTCTTGCATGGTCGGAAGAGCTTGACGTCCGCCTTTGCTAGAGATGAAATTATGGACCTTCAGTCTTCATTCAGGTAACATATTTTCTCAACGTGGTGACAGAACTAGTTCAGGCTAATAGTCTACAAATTTTGCAACAACTATAGTCAAAATAGTGAGATGGATTTGTCATTTGCTACTGCCTCAAAGTCAGAGGGGTCGATATTGTGCAAGAAAATTTAGGTGGGAGGGAGAATGAGGTTTTGTCGATTCAGTTTTCCTTTTCCAAAGTCAGCAGCCCACAGTTATGGCAATGTTTTTCTTCATAGGATTTTAATGAAAGATTATTAGGCCAAATCCCACTTCAAATTACGGAAAATCAACTTCGACAAGGGAAATCTTTGTATCCCCTTTTTCGCCGCAGTTTAGAGGGGCATCACCCACTCCCATTGAAATGTAAGACAATAAAAGTTGGCTTTTACTCATAGCATTCTCTTAACGGTCGAAGAAGCGTGTGGCTGCGGTCTCTTCAGGTATTTTATCTACGCGTTCATTTCTTCCCTTCATGTGTTCTGGCACATAATCGGCAGAATTCAAATTTATGCACACAAGAAAAGGAGTTTGCTTGAGCCTTTTGCGTTCCTCCTTGAAGGCAGTTCTTTAGAGTGGACGATTTTTTCACTGAACTGGCTAAACTGTAAAACTGTCAAGCAGGGAATGTTAAAGGCGAGGAGAAATGGCAAGCAACCAGCAAAGCAGCCATATTGGCTAGTTTTCGCTACTGCAGCATTGAAAGGTACAGGCAGTTGTCAACGCAAAATTTGGAACTTTGGAAGAAGAGAGCTACGCACATGAAAGCAGTGTTAAATCAAGCGACTGAAAGGGACACGAATAACCTCTACTCGTTAGCACCACTTTAAATTGTATGCGATCGCGAAGACTTTGGACAAGGAAAGGTGATTCATAGTGGTTTAAATACTGCACCACTCTCGCACCTTCCATTGATTTGTTGTCACTTCAGACTATGCCTTCCTCATGGTCCGCCATGAGGGTTCTCTACTAAATGAAGCTTTTCCTTTACAACATCGAGCTAACGACTGTAACGTGACTTAAAAGCTAGACGACCACACTACCTCAGGCCTATTACAAAAATGCACGCAACAAGAAGTTTTCATCGGAAAGTTTCTTCATTCAACTCACTGCAAAAATGCGTGCACACAAAACCATCACATTCGTAAAAGATGGGAGAGATAAAATCCAGAACAGTGTGGAAAAGAAATGGAAAGTGAATGAGAGTAAAGAAGACGAAGAAGAGAGGGCTTATTTTCTTTTGTTCTCAACCTTGGCTTCAACTTTGCGAACACGAATGGGAGGTTGCGGATGAGTGACAACTCTCCTCCTGTCACCACTCTTGCCGATAATAATATCGAGAACTCGACCCCATTCCTCCTTGTCCATGGCTTCGACACGCGCCTGTAGTGCACAAAACTCTGCTTTTCCAACTTGCTCCCGCACACCCAAACAGTAGTGGCAGCGCTCACCATCAACAGGGTCGCCATACATTTTTCCCCTTTCTGTGGTGGTGTCAGTAGCAGCATCTTCTACTTTGCAGAGGTCTGTACAACTAGTTGATCTATCGATGCGTCGTGAATCTTCTGCCATTTTAGCGCTCCTTTCCTTCTCGACTTCATCCTTCCCTTCCACTTCTGTATTTGACCTCTGTAACTCTAAAATATGGACTTCAAAAGCCTAAACGCGACAAAATTGGGACATTGAGATGGTGTAAATCTGCTATTGCTCAATCAAATTACGTGACTCACTAATGATTGTTACGCGAAAGATAATTTGCGGGAAAGAGGTTGCTTATTTAATAACGAATAATGATTACAGCCACCTATGCTGCCCCAATACACTTCCCGATTTCGATCACAGATCATTGTGAGCTCGACCCAATTCTCTGCTTAAAAATAATATGTCAGAAGGCATGCGGAAGATTTTGGCTTTATAGTCGATTTAGCTGTTTTGAGTTACCAATAACTCAAGTAATTTTGGTATTCTTGGTAAATTTCAAATCTAAAATCACCTTTGGAATTACCATAGTTGTGCATGACTATAGGAAAACTAATTTTCAGGGGAGTTTGATTGGCTCATTGGAAAAATAGTTCAACTCCAAAACTTAACTATTCCAATATAAAGAAGGGCAGCATAAATTTAATAGCAAAAGCACGAAGTGATGTATAAAAAAATACCAAACGTAATTTGAACGTTAAGAAAATAGTTCGATATCAAATGGAGGACAGATATAAAACTATGGCTACATCGACCCCAATTTTATTATATACAGTGTGAAATCTCATCTCAGCACACGTGGGTTTGCTAAATAAGCAAACCAGAAGGAAGTCAAAAGCTTGCAGCAAAAATCAAAGATTACCACGTGTGAATTTTAAGCAATTCAACTAAAGGGAGCAGCCATAATTGACAGCACTTCCGCACGTCGTCAATGGCGTTAACTAAGCGATGGCTCTTACTCCCCCAAGTATTACTCACATGTAGGTGTAAAACGGATGGCTTAAGTTTGAATAGACTAGAGCAGACTGAATAGTAGATCATAAGAAACAAAATAAACCTACCACTTTGGAAAAGAAGTTTGCACAAAGACCCTTATTTAACATTGTCTTGGTGGTAGCTGCAATACTAGCCTTGTAGGCATACTTCATTAGGTTACGCATTAAATTCACAAAAATTTACCCAGCCATGACTAGCTGCCGTTCCGCCGCAATAAAGAAGTAGCACTCAACTCAATGATTACAGTGACATTCGGCAAAATGCGAGGACTTAGGACCGCTAGAGGTGTCAAGGTTATAGATCACAAATATTGGCTTAGAATAAGAAAATGTGGACCAAATACTAAAATATTGGAAAAGTAGAAGAATGTATTTACTTAGCTTTAATGATAAAAGCTAATTTTGTAATTTACTTGACAAAATCGCACATTATATGGTATAATAAGCGGCAACACTTTAGAGTGCCGCGGAAACATAGTCTACAATACTTGTCTGCGCAACTTTGAAAACAACTAGTGGTTTTGAACTTAACCAGTTAGGATGCATGTAAAGCTAGGGTACTCACCCCTGCAACCTCTATCCAGTTCTACTTTAATTGAGGTTGTCTCCGGCAAACCTTTGTTTTGACCCATGATAATTGAATCATGTCGCTCTACTGTGTGAGTTTCTGTATCAATATATGATGTGCGTTCACTTGGGATTGCTTTCGTTATTTCTTTTTTGCTTATCATAGGATCTTCTTCTAGTAATTCCACTTTTTCCATAGCTTCTGTCGTGTCATTTACTCCTTCCAACTGCCTTTCCTCAGTGACTGGTAGTGCCAAAGCTACATTTTGTCTACATGGATTTGTATCGCCCCCTGGGCACTTAAGTTGTCTGCATTCTTGGCTGAAAGATGCCAAATTAGCGGTAGTTTCAGAAACTGGATCATGCTTTAATTGAACATCGGGAGCCGCTTTTGGTTCTACTTCGGCTTCTTTCGAGAAGGCTTTCTGAAGCTCATTTACATCCTCCTCTGTCCATAATTCGGCATTACATGCCAAGCGAAGGGAAATATGGTCATGGTCAACACAAATCTCGCTCCTATGCGGATTTAAAGCCTTGCTAAGTCGACCTGAGTCCCAATAGTAGTAACGTGTGACTGGAGGCCCCTCTTGAACCGACATCTTTGTGTTGACTCGCGTCGCATTCTTCTCCTGTTTTGGGGGAATTAACATTACGCTGATTCGCCTCCTGAATACTCGAAGCCATATCTCACCGTTAGCGGACTTCTTTTCCATTTGTATAGGAATCCATTCACCTGAACGCATAACTGTTAATGGCGCCTTATCGTCAATTAACTTCATCCATGTGGATCCACCAACAACAATGCGCTTCTTAGGCACAGAAAAGCAGGAAAAAAGAACACTCCCCTTATGCACCTGTTGTGGAGGTGGTGGTAGTGACAACTTCCCAACTCCTGGAAACTGCAGTTGAACAAGGAGATATTCACCAGTTACAGTGAGTTCTGCTTTAATATCGGTGGGTGGCGCGAAGTGAACGCAGTCAAGAGACATTTAAGGCGTGTCTACACGTGGTTGCAGGTTCGAGAGTATGCCTTCAGGCATCGATTTGTGTGAAACTGATTTCGAACTCCACGTAGGCACGTGGAGTTCAAGCAAGCAGACTGGGTTGTATTTTGCTCACAACTTTCCAAAACATTTTTTACAGTGACCTCATACTAAAGCATAGAAAAAACGTTCATCAAAGAACCATTATTGTGTGCATATATCTGAAACTCCTCGCACATTTTCCAGATCTCAGCATCCTTCTTGCCTGTTAGGCCAACACTTAAAGACGCTTTCAAGGAGGGTGAAGGAGAAGAAACCATTCGTTACCGGCAATTGACTTCGTTAATGTCAAACTTCTACAAGTTACAGTCGAAAGAATGATATTTAATAATGAGGAAGAGCAGTGAGAGAGCAAATCTTTTCAGTGAAAGTGTTATAGGTGCTAATGTATCAAGCCTCACACATCAACCAAATTAACTTGCTATAGCAGATTAGCTAAACCTAGAAGACGCAAGTTTCCGTGGATATGAGGTCAGCACGCCCAAAACGATCAGATGTGATTCGCATCTTACAAATTGATGGAAGTCTTACACCACCGCCGGGAGTATCAGGGACGCCATCAGAGCGAATACCGACTGTTAAAGCAGAGAAGTTCTCAAACATCGAGCTTGTTAGATATCTTCACCCAGAAGTTTAGGACTGATAAGTTCCAACACAAACGCAGCATGAAGACTCACTGTAGTGAAACCCTTCCATTGCGATGAACAAATGTGAATGAGTAGGCCATAGGCATCGCTTCTTCAAGGTAGGAAACAAGCCAAAAGGAACTTGATCCTCAACATTCAAAATATTTTATTCGCACAAACAAAAATTCCAGGGGAGAAGGAGTAAGGAGGCGGTAAAGAGAAAGGGTAGGGCGCCTGACGAGTAGAATGCTCGTGAGTATTCAAACTACAACAACAGACGGTTCTCCCAGTGGCTGAATTCGACAGAACCTACTGCAGAACAACGCCCACCTATTTTGCAGAAAAAGAGGTGTGAGCCAGCGATTGCCAAAGTAAAGGGCAAAATTCATAAATATTGTGATATTTTAAAGATAACTCTATCCACAAGTATCAACTTCACTAGCACTACGGCATCGAGAATGATCTACTAAGGATAAGAAGTACCTTGAAGAGCTGGAGAGGACCCAAGCCTCCTTTTCAGAGGTGGCTCATCGAGACACCACCACTCATAACCGATTTTAGATGAGACAAGTTCCAAAAAAGAAGAGATTATAAGGTTCGAGAGAAGAGTTTGCAAATGAGCTCTGGGAGAAATTGGTAACACCAATTCTCCAGATTCCTTTTCTTCCTTTGCTTACCGACTCAACTGAAAAAACCGCTCCAAGTTCAGTGGGAAAGCAAAATGGCGCTTTAAAGAACCATCATGGCTAAGCGATAATAACATAACTTGGCAACGACCAACAGAACGGAGATTATCAGCAATGGAAGAGCTATACCATAAAATACCCAAAATACTATTATCCCTCGCCAACAAATGGTTTCCGAGTGGTGTGATAGCTAGAAAAGAGCTCACCTCCTCAGGTTTGAGTGTTGGACAGCGCCAGTTGTAGAGGTAGTAGTGCAGGTTGCCGTCGCCGATGCCAAACTTGAGATCTTCGAAGAAACTTGCGTTGTCCAGCAAGTCAAGCGCATTAAATACGTCATAGCCGAGCTGAAAATACACAGCATTCTTTTTTGGTGAGCTCTAAGGTAGGCGGGGGAATGAAGAGGGGTCTATGCAGGTGAGTCAACTTTCATACAGACATTGCCAGAAGAGCAAAGAGGTGTAACACGTGAAATGCGTTGCGCTTTCACAGCGTCACGGAGACGTGACATACCCACCCCATTAACCGTGAACGATGTGCGTCACAAATGCGTGACGTGTATTACCTACAAACGAGTTGGAAGGGTGACAACGGCAGTCCTTTGCTCACCTTTTGCATTTTTTTCAAACATTGAGCAAGCCGAAAGTAATACTTGCATTGCCCGCGTTGCTGCTTTAGGCTCAGCTATCACACCTTCGCTTACCGACAAACCCTACAGCCACGCTGCCATCTCCAACCACACTTCTAGTTCAACTTTTTTGCAACACTCATGTGGCGTGTAGAGAGAAGCCACTACAAAATTATACTTTGCCATTAGCAAGACGTGCGAGTGGAGGGAGAGGTTTGATCGTAACCACTTAGAGTGGATTGACAAAACGTTTGCCCAACAAGTTGGTTCTTCAAGGCTACCGACAAGCATTGTGTCGTCATAGCTGTACGTGTAGCGCAGCTCTTGATTCGGTGGGAGAAAACCGAATGAAAGACTGGAGGCCTTTGAGATAAAATAACAAAATAATGGCACCGCAATAGTTCGACCAAAGAACCTCCAAAGGTGAGCCTAAAGGGAAGAGAGTAAGCATAGGACCACAATCTAAGTGAGCAGAAGTGACACTTATGGGACCATTTGCGTCTCGCACTCTTGACTACCAGCGGCAAGAAGCTCAGCCAATTTCCTCAAGCATAACATAATCCCGGTCAACTGAGAAGAGGAGAGGAGAGAGAAAAAAACATTGAGGGAATGCTCCGGTGACATGGTGATAATCCCATTTTCTTCAACTAACTCCATGACACAATGACAGTGAATGGCCATCAAAGAAGAGGAGACGGACTTGTGGAGACTGAATAACGCCGAAATGGCTGAGGATCAGCAGGTACAAAACACAGTGTCAACCGAAGGTTTATGAAAGCCGGAACATGAGTGACATAAAAGAGGGGAAAGGAGGTACCAAAAGATCAGAACGTGCACAACTAATTTGACAATGGCAGTAAACAATGCAAAAAATAACGAAACTATGCTCAAAAGGAGTAAATTGCGATAGTTCCTTTTAGACATGATATAAAGAAGCATCTGGATTAAAGGTGAGGGAAGAAATCAAAATTAGCCAGGCGCAACAAACAAGCACCAAAGCTGACATACGCAAATTCTTGAGAATTCAAAAATACAGGTGAAGAAATTTTAGTGGCAAAAAGGTAAAATCCGCCCGTAAGTATCAGAACGAGGGTGAAACAGAATGAAGTGACTAGTAAATGGTGCCACACTTCTTTTGCATACAAGAAAGTGGTGTGATGAAGGTACGCTGTGTGAATTTTCGCTTATCTGTCGACTACAGAAACAAGTAAACTGTTTTGAGAAGCATTGGAGGAGGGAGTGGAACTGTCGAATGTCATGCCTGGCGAAATGCAGATGCAACAGGATTACGAAGCTTCACAACCCCCCTTCAATTCTGAGTAATGATGCAACAGATGAATTGATTCTTCACCAACTTGGAAAGTCATAGCACCATGGGGCAAATCAACTGACTGGTGATGTGCGATGGCTTTCGTAAGGCGATACAACACAGGTGAGCATCTCATTGGCTACGATCAAGCTGTTCACGTCCTACCCACATCATACCTCCAGCGCAAGCACAACCACCACCACATTCACACACGGCTGGACTCCGAGTATGTGCGCATAGAGACGGATAGTGGATAAAGTTGTTTGTGTGAAACTGCTCTCTCGATGAAAAGAAGATTCGATACTGCGTGAAGCTGAGATTTAGTGATTTGTAGGCGTACGAAGACGCAGAAGGACAAGATTTCCTTCACATAGACAGCTAGAAATGTTAAGTCGGTTAAATGAAAAAGTCCTACATGCTGAACACCAGTGAAAACCATTTGTGAAAAAAAAACTAAATGTATTTTGGAATGGGAAATGGAAGATCACTTCACCCTCCCCTCTTCCATCATACCTTGATGATAATTAGCGGTGACGCCTATCATCATTGATGGCAAAACTGAAAAGCCCAACGATAGAGTTGGCTATAGCTGAAACCACTTCCATATTCAAAACATCAACCTATTTACAGCAATGGAATTCGCGGTATGCTTGCTTTCCATTGAAAAGGATTATGAAAACCAACAAAGTTGGCTCAAGTGAAGGGAGAGGAAGAATGGGCACAAACCTGTTTAGCGACAATCAGAGCCTCCTTCATGAGTACCACCCACGGAGTTTCAGTGGATACATTATAAAAGGAATAGGCAGCACGCAAAAGGTTGTGCCTTGGATGCTGCATCACCGAACTGGGTAGAGAATAGAAGGAAACCATGTCTGTGATGGTACAATCGGAGGCGCGCTCCACCACATAGGCATGTACGACATCATCACGAGGCAGAAACCTGTAGTAGGAGAACGAAATTAAATTTTTTCGGTCATGGGTGCCGACTGTTCATTCCCCTCAAGTTGGTACGCATGTTGCTAGGCAGAATGAGAACGACTGAGGAGAACGACAGTCGACCGCAGCGATGCGAGGAACAAAACTATAGGTGCAGAATATTGTAGAAGCAAATATGACAAAAAGCTCGAGTTGTGTAAATGATTAAAGGCGGACGCGTCAAATGTCACACGTCCACTGGATATATAACTGCTCGTAATGACATAGCCAAAACTACATCTTGAGGCTGCTACTAACCAGTGAGCGAACTCTTCCTCCGAGAAGACAGGGTAGAGTTGTGAACGGGATTCTAAGTAGGTGGCGAGGAGTTGACGGCAGGCGGGTAGATCACGAGATTCGAGGACGCGAAATCCGGGTAGACTCGTAGTGTCAGGTAGACGATAGAGCTTTATGGCTCGGTGGAGAGTCATAGTTCGTGTTAGGTGGGAGAAGCCAACGTCCACAAGCTTCCGCGGATTGAGTGGACGGTGCCAGTACCTTCGATAAACACATGAGCAAGAACTCGTTTCTAAGCGGCATGAAAGACTCAGAAGTTTCCGATAATTAAGAGTTGGAAATACTGACAACCCCTCATGATAGTCATCATTAAGGCGAAATTCAAAATAGTAAGAACAGTAAGTGAACACAATAAGGTGTGAAATCAAACCCAGATGCTGCCGATAGGAAAAATTGGCGAGCAATTCCAAAGCGAACTCAAATTGCACAAGAAATATGTAGAAGGAATAGAGGTCCTCATCGATGGAAAGGAAGTGTGTGTGCTAAAACCGAAACAAGCTGCTGGGAGGGATTTCGTAAGGCACGCACAAATCTCATCTGACTGAGTGGTGAGAGTATGGCAATTCGCTGAAGACCAAATCAGCAGAGAGCCACTAGACCAGTAATAAGTAGAGACATATGCATTTCCACTCAGTGAAGGCCTCTAGAAGAAGTCGTTACGAAATCAAAAGAACGGACGTTGATTATATATATGTATAGTCTACTTCCATAGGTAACATGTATGGATTGGAAGCCAGCAAATATTTCAATACTTATAACCAGTAAGCTCGGAAACGACCCATAGAGTAGAAGAGGACCTATTTAACCTACAAGTTCAAAAGCGCACTCGAAGCGACGAAAAAATGCGAGGATAAAGGCCCACCTCAAATCTTGCCACTTCTGAAGAAAGAACAGTATGACAAGAGCGATTGAAAGTCAGCCGATTTAAAACCTGCTTTAACTTCAAAATCTAAGGGACTTATTCAAAGAGGACAGCAACATGGCAAAGTGTGGAGGCAAAGTAGGACGGATTAAGAGTAGACCAGCTTGTCAAAGCTTGCGAAGCTTATAAGCAATGTTTTGAAGCAGAAGACCTTAGGATAAATAGAGATTGAGACGGAAACCTCAGATATTTAACACGCTAGATACATCTTGGCTTTGAGAACGACGTAGAGAAGAAGAAGAACGTAGCCTCGACCAACATGGCCATGGATTATGGTAATGACGTTGAAATACTGTCAAACATTTGAAACAAAACGAACTACATAAATGAAATCCCTCGGTTCGAAAACCGATTTAGGGCGTCTTAATGTCCGAAATTATCAGAAATTATCATGAACTGACCTACAAGTGGCGACTGGTCGCGGAAGCACGACTCCACTAGTGTAGACGGCCTGATAGATAGCATGCAGATGGACACGTCGCGTTATCTCGCGGATCAGTACGGGAGCCATACGTTTGTCTCGTAAGCGCTTGTGTACGCATAAAAAGTTGATTTCGACCATCTTCTTTGTCCTGGATAAAACATGAAATAACACATGGCAACTTTATAAGTCTGGAGCTAATTAGAATGATGTGGAGCCAAAATCCAGAGAATGCCTGTCCTTAAATAGCTAGTTTATCACCCAAGAAGTAGTCGACCAGATGGAGGAGGAAAGGGGGGTTTTGGAGCACCCACTAATCACTCATAGCTTAAATTGTAGTTATCTTCCAAAAGATGGATGGATGATAGAAAGGGGTCGCTTTATAAGGACATTACCAGAGCTCACTAAAGATACTTGCGAAAACTCACGACGGCCTCAATCGCTTACTATGCGCTTGACTTCATCCACCAAAAACGACTTTTACTACTAAAAGAAGTAAGAACGTTCATCATGAACCCTAATAAGCCGTTCAAGAGAATACAATTGTAAGAGATTCCTCGACTCAGGCTGAAACATCCTATGCATTCTTATTCCGCATTCAGAGGGAGGAGTTTGCAAATGATATTAAAGTTTACCTTAAGCTTGTTAAGCCATAAATTAGGTTTTCTCCTCGCAAAAAGCCAAATAATTTGTTTAATAACTTGGAAAATAACTTGTTTTAAAAAGTGGGATAAAGCATAATAATTCGAGTTTAGCAGCGCAGGTGAAAAGTTGGAGCATTTAATGAAGTCAGAAGACTAAGTTAATGCTAGAAACGAATAATTACCTACCAATTCGTGTGTTAATTTGTCTTTATTAAATGAAAAACGAAAGGATGGATCAAATCCTTCATCAGACGAAAAGATGTCGGAAAAGCAGCAGACGGAGTGAATTGAATCAGTCAACGGTAGGAAAGCAGAAAAAGAAAAAAACCCACTTATTGTACACACGAATATCACAGGGCATGCCCGCAATAAAACCGACGAGTTTGTTATTCTTTGCAACTCGAACGCTCACATGCCACTCCGGACGCCAACCCGGGGGCTGCATAGTCCTAAAAACAGCACACAAATTCGCCACAGTTTATTTGAGATCGGACAATATGAAGTGCTAGCGGATGTACCATTTAAGAAAGTCACGAGCGTATGAAAACCGGAAAATATGATCGTCATCCTCCACATAGTTCTCGTTCAGCAAATTGAACAATTCATCAAGCTGAAAGTGGTAAAGGACCCATTTTTTTAGGAAAAATAAGAGACCTCCTTAGGGTTGTTCAGATCAAGATTACACCAAACGAATTCAGCAGGAAGACTGTAACAGTCTGTTCTGATTTGAGACACCGGAACATCCGGCTCTACTGGTTCATTCTCCGTTATCTCCTCTCCTAAAAAATTCAGTTAGGCCGATAAAATTTAAATTTAAAGCTGATTCGAAGCAAAACAAACGTACCAATATCGGGGACAGGCTGAGTTTTCCAAAACTTATAGTCATCTTTCGACTTCTTTGCTGGCTTAGAACTAGACAAACCAGGAGGGTTTCGGGGGGACGTAAGCATAACGTTTGTTAGCTGTTTTAGCAACTCAGCCTCATTTGTTTTGACGGCATCTTCAATGGTAGATGATGCAGCAGGGTTGGTTGAACCACCCTCCCCATTTTCTGTAGAAGGCTTTAGCACTTTCTAAATTTTCAAAGCGATGCAGAGGCAAATATATACATAATGAATGCGTAAAGCACATCCAAATGGAAAAAGAGACGAACGCAGACAGAAACAGGTAAATTCGACTAGCTTACCTGCTTATTGGATTTCCGAGGCATTATAAAGTCCCAAGTATATACCAGAAAAAACGTAAAATTGGCAAAAAATTGAAAGAATTCGACACAATAAAGCTGTAGCGTCGAGTAATAGTGATGACGACAGCAACCAACCAGGGAGCACACGCAAAGCACAAGGGACGACTACAATGCGCGGTCGACGGCAAATATATTCAAACGACGCTAATAAAATTTTAAAGTTCACATAACATGAAACAAAGTCATTAAAATTTTTAGGCGTAATAAGGCATTTTTTTTCCCTTCCTAACCTCTTCTCGAGTTTCTTTACTCATGAGGAAAAGCCGACATGAGTTATGAGTTTCAGTGGAAATAAAGCACACAAAACATAAAGCAATAAGGATTCTTGCAGCACTTCGAGGCTTGTCGTTAGGCTAGGCTGAGTGCTTATTTGCTAAAAGCATGCGGCCTATATGCAGGTGAAATCTAACCCACCCAGACTAGGTTAGGAGGCACGGGGAACTGTCTGTCAGTCATACTGGTAGTGACGTGAACAAAGCTTACAGAGACTTTCCACTTGGTGGGAGAAGGCAGTAAGTAAAGCCGGATACAAGCATTTCAAAGAGTACAGAGCAAATGAATCTGAGCATGGCCCGAAGGCCAGCTCACGAGTACAAAGGCCAGACAAATCTTAAAGTTACCGTCAAACGTCATATAATCACATAAACAAAACATGACCTAAGTTTTCTTTGATAGTGAGGACTTCTAAAGACCTCCAAAATATGTCAAGACTCAGGGCCTAGAACGCTGGTCCATCCATCCTTTATAGGAAGAGACTCAGCATAAGGCTACCACATATACCCATAAGCGAATATAATAAGTGTGACTCCAAAAGGAATGCCCCGCCAGCGGAAAGTGGAAGTGGAAATGATGTAATTCGTTACGCGATTCTTAGCCTTCACTTTGTTTAAAGGTGAAGGCTTCCCCCATCTCAAAGTATACGTTCTTCATTAACACAAAAAATTGCCATAAATGGTGCTCAGAAGTCGTAACAAAATCGTTTACGATTTCAGCTTCTATCAGTGTGAGGTCCCGCGACAACCTTCGGCTGGGAAAAGACATTAAGTAGGGTCAGGAGGAACGGCAATAGCTGAGGATTTTACTTAGTCCGAAGACCAATTCTGCATCGACGAGCGAAAGTCATTGATAAAAGTGCTAAAAAACAAAACATTAGATTGCCTTTCATCCAAACTTGTCTTTGGCTGAATCGCGATTTGACCGGAAGCCATTTTCCTTTTGACGCCGTTGATTCAAGCAAATCATTGGAAAGGTACGTCTCAATTCTCATGTCCGTGCAATAATTTGGAGTCCTTAATTTTGCCACTCTGATGAGATTTAACTCGAACTGCTTGCTTGGGAGCTGTTGGTTGTGCTGACGCTGAATGAGGCCAAACGATGCGTCTCGCCTAAATGAATGTCCTTTCCTTGTGTTCTCTACGCAACTGAAATTCCTCAAATTACTCACATCCCTCGATCTTGACTTTGCTCTTGGGAAGAAATGGAGGAGGTGAAGGTATCGAATAAATGGCTTTTGGATGCATTTTAGGTTCTGTTCATGTAAACGACAAAACCTCAGCACGACAGACATTCAAATTCTGATCAAACATCGAGCTTATCAAATGAAAGCATTCAATTTACTGCCTGCGGAATGTGGTCACCATGTTAGTGGTTAGGATGAATTTGACAAGTGTACTATTAGAAGTATTAAATTAAGTTTTATGCCTTCTAATACCAAATGCAAGGTGTTAAGACGTTGCACTAACTGTGGAGGAAAGCAACAGAGAAGTTGGGAGGACTTCCATTCGGATTTATGTGGTCGGCGATATACTTTGCGGTGTAACTACAGTGCAAACCCTATGGATGGCAGCACACCCACCATTGCCACGATGGAGGGACAGCTAACGACTTCCGCGTTTATCGTCTGCCTCGTTCCTGGCTCCACCAAAAAGTTGCCAAAAAAGAGACGAACGCGCCTTCTTTGCCTTATAATGGAATCATTTGTGCGTTTTCATTACCGGACGGCGTTTAGATGTCAGCTATGTTAAAGTGAACAAATCATTTCATTTCTCAGTCTCACCGAAGCTTAAAATGCGACTGAGTCGTGAGTATTTTATTTGCAGCATCCATTACGTTTTGCTGGTTGCCTTTGCAAGTATATCGAGGAGAGTGCAAGGATTTTGGAGAAGGAAAAAGGTGATTTGATAGGTCGTTTATTCCGCCGCCTGTATGGGCGGCTGCCATTTTGACTGTCATTTCGTCTCTTCCAGATGGACCGGTTTTGGACCACTCCAACGATCCGATTCCACATTAACTTTCCGGGCACAAGTGTTCTCTGCCTTTTTCTACCCCTCGAGCAGTCGCGAGGTGCTGTAAAACTCGCACCCGAAAGTGAAGGCTATTGAAGCCATTGTACAGCCCAAGGTATTGCGATGAGGGACACATTTTACCCCAACAGAATTCACAAGTCCATGGACAAACCAAATAGGGCTTTCAACCAGCAAAGTAAAATAAATTTTTTTAAATTTATCCAATACTCTATGAAAGACGACAAATATTTGTGTTTAACCATATTGTTTCTTTACCTTTGCCCCTTCTCTTTAAAAATGCAAACTTTCGGCCTCGATGAATGCCTTCGGCTATCAAACTGGAAGACTCGGAACGCTATGGCTGTAGCTCGAAATCGAATCCGATCGTCGCGAGTTAAGAAAGGGGACCACTCGCGCACGGGCATAAGTTCGCGAGGACTGTCCAGCTATTAGCCAAACAGGCCTTCAAAGACTGCCTCGCTCTCCGAGTTTCTTCATGTACAGCGGACCAGTTGAAAAAGGACGTGCATCCACCTGCCTTGGCAGAACAACTGCTTTACTTAAAAACGTGCAGGCTGAGTCGCCTCATTGACGTGGCAGTCGCCAAGCGTCAAGACCTGCAATTCTCAACGGAGTCTGACAGGCGTGTGCATCCAAGCGGTTGCCAAAACAAAGTAAGCCACAATTTTTCTCCTCTCGCTTACTCCCTTCCCCATCCCTTACTTTTATGCGGGCACAGAGCAAAATAGAAAGCCACACATACACTTCCCCTCTAGATTCGGAGGCAGCCCCATTCGTCGCTAAACCCTCAGGCTTTCCCCATGGTCTGCAACAAGGCTCGTGTCGCTCCACCGGCCACCAAACAACGCTCTGCCGAGGTGGTGGTGAAGGAAGCCTCTATCAGAGTCTCAATCGGGGAGGAAGATTGGGAGGGGAAGCTCGTGCCATGAACAGAACTTTCCTGAGGTGTGCAATTAGAAGCCGATATTTTACTCCAGTTCCGAGCAAATAGAGACTTCTATACAGGCATGTTCACAACCCATCGAAGGCTCAAGAGGAAGCGTCCTGCTCCTCAGCTAATGAAAGATGCGGACGACATATGCGAGTTCCTTTTCGCTGCCCTTGCCTTCACCAGCACCAATCTAAGCAATCTTTGCGCCCAACTAGAACAGATTACCGACGACGAGAGGAGGCAACTGTACTTGCTCCTGAAAAATTACTCACAATTGTTCTGGAAGTGAAAGTGGGACGAACAAACACAGTTAGATACACGACCGATACCGGTGAGGCCAAGTCGCTGTAGCAGCCGCCTAGACGCATAGCAACTCCCTCGCCAAGACGAAGTACATCGGTTGATTGCCGAGACGCTGAACGACAACGTAATCAGCGGCCGCAGTCCACGTCTATGCGTCTATGATAGGAG